ACCATTTAGCTCAATTCTTGGTGACCAAAATGTTGGAAAATTGTCTACTTTTTATTTCTATCTGTGCCTAGATTAGCAGATTTCGTGATACGGGTGATATTTTTTCATATTTGTAGTTCCCCACATACTGCATTTATCATATTGTAGTTCCCCACATACTGCATTTATCATATTGTAGTTCCCCACACTGCATTCTATTATATTTGAACTTATCCATATTGTATCTTATCATATTTGTAGTTACCCACATACTGCATTTATCATATTGTAGTTCCCCACATACTGCATTTATCATATTGTAGTTCCCCACACTGCATTCTATTATATTTGTGCTTATCCATATTGTCTCTTACCATATTTGTAATTAGCTCATACTGAAGTTTTCCATGCTACATGTGTAGCACCATTGATATTGCTTTCTTATACATACTCACATGTAGGAGATGACTGTATACAGTTTCATAATTTGATAGCAATACTAATACCTAAATTATTAAGTGAAGTAACAGAATGGAGAAATATGTTTATAAAATAATGTGGCAAAAAAAAAATCCCTATTTCTGTTTGTCTGTCTATGTTACCCTCATATAATGATATTGAGTTGTCTTAAACTCTGGTTGTGCCTTTGTTTTCTAATTTTATATCTCAAAATGACAGCTGAAGCCAGCTATTCGTGTGGGCAGTTTATGTGCTACATTTGTGAATGGAATATTGCTCAAACAACTGGTCCAGTTTGGTCAAATTGTATTTTGACGCTGGTGAACTGAGTCAGTTTTCAAAATATACCTCTTTTTATCGAAAAGACACTTGGACAAATTTATTTTTATGTTAGTCATTGTACTTGCAGATCTGTACAGACATTCAAAGAAAGTAGAAAATATGTAGTCCAAAACAAGAACCCTTCTAATGCCACCCATGCATAACTTTCTTCTGAGAGAGCTGTTACTAGTTATAAATTGTAGACATTTAACGAAAGAACAAAATATTTGGTCCAAAACAAGAACCCTTCTAATGCCACCCATGCATAACTTTCTTCTGAGAGAGCTGTTACTAGTTATTATAAATTATTGAGAGATTGTATGATGTTTGATAAAGAGAATGTGGCAGGGTATATTATGAAAGCTTTTATTCAGAAACAAATTAAGTGGAGCATGAAAATGGGACAAATAATGTATAATTATCAAAATAGCCCTTTTGTTCCATTAAACAAAATTCAAGGTCAGGGTGGTTTCAAAGATAAAATTTCACCTGTCTTATAAAAATTGTTGATTTATCTTTAGGCAGAAATGCATAGTAGACATATTTTCCAACATTTCGGTAGAAATGAGGTGAGTTAAATGGTGAGGGGTATCAAAATTGAAAATTATGCACCTTTTTTAAATGCACGTAATGGACTATAACACTAGCTGCAAAACACAACTTTTAATTGTAAGAAAAAAATGATAAAAAGAAATATGAACTTTAAAGTTAAACTAAAGAATCTTTATAGAAAAAACAAATTAGCTATATGGCAAACATGTACAAAAGTTTTAATAAAACCTAACCAATTATCCTTTATATGTACTCAAACCCTAAAGAAATTGACTAATCATTCTTACGATTATTCAATAAATAAAAATCCTGAGAAAATGAACAAATCCTTTCTTGAACAGACAAAAGAAAAAACATTTACAGAACAGGATTAACTAGAAATGCCTAGCATTTATTTTTCACAAAGGTGAAAGTCAGCTAAAAAGTGCACACATTAATGTTTTCATTAAATCAGTACCAGTATCCTAAAAAACAAAGGCTATCAGACCTACAAATATAGTTCGTTTGTCAGGATAGATTTGGCCATATAAATGACATCATGCAGTAACTTGTAACAACACCACAAATGCAACAGAAGTAAAAGATGGTATCCCCACTGCTAGCTGGTAAGGTCTAATTCATATTAGAATGCACTGTCAGTATAAGTTCCTAAAGAGAAAAACGTAGGTAAGTGTTAAAACAGTTAATTTGGAAGTTTCAAGTTGTTTGTCAGCAAGAATTTCCTAATGTACTGAGAGCATTATCCCCACAAGAAATATGTTCAATAACAGGAGATTGGAAATAATTGTATTAACGAAAAACAAGCAACAACTATGTTACTAGAAGTAACTTTCAGGGGCAAAGTCTAATTTACATGCTAACGGATATCTGTCAATACCTAGAGCAACAAGTTCATAAGCAGTAAAAACTGGATAACCAGTTTTAAAGCAGTTAATTCAAGCATAATTTTTTTCTTTTCTTTGCCAGCAAGGATTTGCTAATTCACACAGAGAATCTCAGAATAGATCCACCAATAACAAATGAAGTATTTGTGGACTAGCAAAATGTGACACACCATACTATCAACCGACACCTGGAAACCAATAATAGTAATCCAATCCCCAAAACAAACTATTGACCACTATAAACACTCTAAATATTCTATAATAGTTCCCGTTGATAACTTATCTCAAAATCTAAAATTAAAGTCTTCTATTACTATACACACGTATACTATTTGACTGGACAGGAAGATATCTATAAGGAAAGGCTTGTGAAGAATACTATACCAGTTCTGCAACTGTGCATGAAATGAGACATTTTTAAGAGACTATCACAACCACAATGTAACAGAAATGAAACTGGGCAGTTATGTAGTAGCTGCTCAGTATACTTTGTTACAATTGTTTTCTATAAAAAAAAACTTAAGTTTTATGAGAGTACTTTTTTATCTATTGTACAGATCTCTTAGTTAGATACTATTTAACTGATTTTCGTATTCAAGACTGATGAAACAGGAGCCTTAAGTGAGTGTGAACAATTAACAATAACAGCAAAAAAACATGGTCCCTTGATAAGAAGCTTAATAAGTTTCAACTGTACACATTGATGAGTGTGGAATATCTGATTAAATAAGTATTACATCAGAAATGTCATTAACTGTAAGGTACAAGAAAAGAAATCACTTCATTAATTTGGTACATAACATTACTGGTTCTTGAACCTGAGAAAACTGTGGTGCTTTCCACCACGATACTTAAAATTACATCTCATTAGATAAGCAATCAATTCATAAAGCTACCACAAAATGGATTGTTTTATTTCTTCACTGTCCCCCAGATGTTTTCGTTTATTTCCAAATGTATTCAAAGACCAAAAACTTAGGAACAAAACAGACTATGCAAAAAATCTTGTACTAGGTAGACAATTCTTTGTCATATTAAACAAATTTCAGTGAAATTAGAAATTAGATTACAAAAAAATATTTGTCCATAAAATAAAAATTTTTAAATCAGGACTTTCATTAGTTTAAGTGCACAGTGAAGAGTTACAACAACAAAAAGGTTTATTTTTACAGCAAGGTCCATTACAAAAAAAAGAAAGAAACATTCTTCAATAATACCTTAACTTCAAAAGATATGAATTATCTGCATCATATCAACAAGTCTTGACTACAGATGTTTTTGTATGCATATTCCCATAAAAAAATTCAATTTCACAACATATCATACAAAAACAGAAAGTGGTACAAATGTAGGATATAAAAAGATGATACTCATTATGCTCTAAAATGACTTCTGAGAATTTTACAGAAAATTACACAAGTTTTATATGTAGCTATAAAAACTAAAAATACTTTAAAAAATTAATTTAACCTCATAATAACAATTTCTATATTATTTAATACATTTTAAAACATAATCTATGTACAGATATAAAAGATAATCAAGTCAGAGCTGTGTGATTGCAGTAGTGATCAGAATTTCTTCTTACTAGCATTTAAATTTATCTACAATATAGACATTTCATGAGTGAAATATTATGAACACAGAGAATCTCCTTCAAACCTCTATAAAATGATGTTCAAGGTGTAATCACCCAAGTAATTGTACGTTAAACTTATTTGCCTGCAGATATTACAAAATTTAAAATCCTTAAAGCTGTAACTAAAAGATTTTAAACTACTTTTGGTGCTGCGGATTTATTGTTTGATATATAATATGAATATCATAGATGTTCTTCAAAAAACAAGGTTAAAACTATTAGTATGAGAAAAAATTATTGATGTCTTTTTTTTTATTATTATTACTACAGCTTTATTGTGTCTTTCCTTACCTATTCTCAGCTCATACATTGCATTGGTTACAACCTGACTTTTAAAATTCTAAAAACTTTCAAATGTCCAAAAGGCACCAAGAAGCATTATACAGACACACATTCCAAACCTTTAGTTAACTGCATAACCTACTGTTTCTCTCCAATCAGGCTAGTTCCTGCATTGAGAGTGAAGGTGCGGGTTTATATAATATGCTGACAGGTCGTACCCTCTGACTATGTGGGTCGTCTGTGTTTAATTCTTGCACCCTACGCCTCCTTGTTACTTGTACAGGACGATTTTCCATGACTAGAGCATTTGCGTAGTCTCGTATTAAATGAGCTATCTGTGTGGCCTGGAATAGAATACAGAAATATTTAGTAACACAAACACATAATAGAAAATTCAAAATTCACCTCTAAAACACTCAGTCAAACATACATTGATAATGCCGAAAGGTACAAATAGTGCAAAATAATTATTTTATTCATATATTTTCTGGAAAATTCATGGTTAATTAAAACATATCCATAAGTTTTAATAGCATTGGATTCTTTATTTGGATAATTATCATTTGTGATCTCATTTAAAGAAAATTAAAAACAGAGATAATTATTTGGAGGACAAAAATAACACAGGCATATTATAGAATAACAAAGAACACTTACAGCACTAGGTTAAATTTAGATTTGAAAACTAAACACTCTACTCTCAAAAGTTATTAAAATAAAACAGACAAAATTAAACAACACACAAAACTCTAAACAAAGTTTAATTGTTTTGTTTTTCAGGATTCACCATCATATTAATTTAATATATTAACCCGTTAACTGCAAATGACAGATATTTCCATCATTGAAGTTATATGGCTCAGCTGCAAATGACAGAAATATCCATCAGTTGCACATATATAACTATAACTCTATGTGAATGACGATAATTACCATTTTATTGTGATTGATGGCAACTCAGTTTTATCTGTGAGTCAGAAAACAGCAACTGAGCTGCTCCTGCAGCAGTTAATGGGTTAATATTGGATAAATTTAATGACAAGACCTTATGACTACAAGTGTACATATCTGCTCTACATGCATTGTGGTATGAAGTAAGATTTTGTTGCTTTGTATAAATTTTAAGGATCAGGGTGTTTTTGTTTTATAATTTCATAATTCTTTTTCTCAGAAGTGTTAACAAGAAACAATACTTGCAGAGGAAATAGAAAATTTTTCGCCCCTTTAGAAAACACTATGATGAAATTCCTAAAACATAATTTACAGTGATGATAAAACAAAAAATTACAAGACTTACATGGTTGGTGGTAAAGATGTACTTGCAACCTTTACGACCAGTTCCTGTCACAACCATTAGAGAATTCAATGAAGGACTGTAGTTGATGATGTTCTCATATTCACAGGTGTTCAAAATATTCTGTTAAAAATAGGAAACAGTACCCTTGTAAGCTTTAGTAGCAACTTACAAACATATACACGTCCATCTAGAGAGTGGGGAGGCTGGGGATATTTCTTTAAAACCAACTGCCCACCTTGGGGCCTATGAGAGTGACAAAAAATGTGTACAGAATGTTTGAAATTAATATGAAACTTTAAGCAAACATTAACAATGCCTTCAATCAGTGTAAAAAATAACATAAACCAATTTTAAAAAGACATTATTTATAATCTGAAATTAAAGCAGCAGAAAAACAATAAAATGTCTAAATATAACTGAGAATATGATCCACTAGTATTCCACACTGATAAACTTTGACTTTATGGAAAGTAAAAAGAAAAGAAAATGGAATATGTTTTCCACTTAAGATGATAAAATTTCCCAGCATTGGTAATAACAACTTTTATTAAAAAGATTTCAAAAAAAAAATTGAAGGAGATACGATTGATGCAAAACTTTCTTCAATCATTTTACATAAATCATTTCTGAATGAGCAGTGCAGCTGCGAGTTTCACCAGAAAGTGAGAGGAGAGGAAACGTTTACCAGGAAGAGTATCATAAAAAGTAGTTGATACTTTCCATGATGCTTAACAAGCCCCTAATAAATGTTGTTTAAGACTCATAACGTAGGTTAATTAATATGTAGAATTATACATGGACTTTTATCTATATCAAAATACTTTTATTTGCATACTTTTGGCCTTCTTAACAGGGCCTTCATCGGGCAACAATGTACTGAGCAATAAAAATTCTTTAACAGGTAACAGTTGTAACAATAACTGACATCTGGTATTAAAGTTATTAAATACACAGAATTATGATTAATATAGAATATAAATAAATTGCTTCGATGTAATAAACATACAGAAAATACATTTATAGGTATTATGTAGAGAAAAAACAAAGGAATTTTTCATACTTCAAATAATACATTGTAAAATCAAAGGTTTAATTTTACATTGAAACCACATAGATACCACTGAATATTGTTTTTGATTTTAAATTACAAAATAAGTTGAGGAGTTTGGCTAGTTGAGAGAAGGATTGATTATACTAATTAAATAGAGGGCTGAATGAGAGTTTAGGTTTTATTCTGTACGTTTTTTAAAAACCTATTGTTACAAAACTGTTATTGTCTTATGTTTTTTTTAAAGGAAACCATGCATAAAAGTGTTTTCTTAAAAACATTTTCGTATAAAAATGTTATTGTTTTACATTTTTTTTATAAAAGAAACCACACATAAAAGTGTTAGAATTCATAATTATATCGTTTCCGACAATAACGTCAAACAATAACAGTTTTGTAAAAACATGTTTATAAAAAACAAACACACATAAAAGTGTTATAATTCATATTATTGGAGGAAATGGTTATATTTAAATGTTTGTTCATACTAATTTCATATTCAGAGAATGCTTGGAAACAGTATGTTTTTCTTTTCATTATTAATACCTTTATGCATTTGATATTTATTGTTACATGAAAAGCGAAATTTTGATCCTTTCTGTTTAAAAGTAGCTAAGCATCAGCCGTCTGTTCAGGTAATACCCGGGCAATGCCAAGTAAAGACAGCTAGTGCCAAATAAAGAAAATGTCTTAATGTAATGAGATTCTTATGCAGCACATTCAATGGTAACTCTATGAAACTGATATGAAAGTAAATAAAACATATAAAGTAAATATTTAAAATATGCTATGGACAGAATGATTAATAAACCATCACCATATCAAAATGCCTACTGTGACAGTGTTATTTACACATTTATATTTTTTTTACAAAATAATCTGAGTTCATATATAATAATTTTTAGTTATATTTTTCATATGTTAATATCATGTATATATTTTCAAGATATATCTGTAAGGCATCACTTGCATCTTGCAACATAAGAAACTTCCAAAGGTTAAGCTTAATGTAATTAAAATTCATATGTTTCTAAAAACTCATGAGTGAAAGCAAAGAAGAAAATGTTATAATATGTCAAAAACACATCCAGTACTGACAAGACCTTTCACCCAATACCAGGGATCGTAAGGCCAGCTGGACATGAAAAAGAAAGTAGTAGTCTAGGCACTATATATATCACAAATTTTCATGAACAATAATTGTTTGAATGTGAATCAGATTAAGCAAGTGAATTGTAATTCTTACAAATTTTATTGAAGTCATTTACAAGTCAGGTTTTTAAGTATATTAGAATATATCAATTTCTAAATATTTGCAAACCTAGAAGAAGTTAGATCTAGAATGTACTTGCTGATATTAAAGCGTCACTTGTTTCCAATGTGGATTGAAATTGAAACACATGCCCCAAGGCCACCTACAATTTGGGCCTCCCACAAAACTCAAATTATTTGTTGTAATAAATTCACAAATATTTTTATTTAATGAAGATATTTTAGCCTGAACAATTATTGTTTAAAGGATGATGGCAAGTCACAAGAAATTATTTTTAAATTACCTTTTTTCTATATTTTCTACAATTTGAATGAAAATTGAACATTGACAACATATAGTCAATTATTACTTATGGTAGTTGACTGACAAGTGTATGTCAAATGCCTTTCTTAAAAATGAAGAATGATCTTTGTGCTACTATGGGGAAGCAAAGACTGGTAAGTTTTTGACCATTCTCTCTACTGAAGTAAATATCCTGCAAGCACTAAATATGGATGAGAATATATCAGAATTTTCAGCAACCAAAGTCAGGAAACAAATCATCTAATTAATTAGGGAAAATAAGAAAAAATTTGAACTGGTATTATGTTTTCAGTTGTCATATATTCAGTATTTAACATTGTGTTTATTATTTTAATAGATATACAGACATTACGAAAAATTTAGCTCAATATACTAGGGGGCCTCCCACAAGTTAAGTGCCCAGGATTGCACCACAGCTAAATCTGGCCCTGCTTGTTTCACATATTAAGAGTAAATATAACACTTACCCTGCTTCGTAGCTCTAACAGATGGATACCAACTTGATCAACTGCCAACCATAACATCTTAGGCCATGATGATGTGTATGATTGCTGAGAAAAAAAACATTCATTTTACACTCTTAATAAATAATAAACAGCAAATAAACCAGCAAACCAAAAGATATCCAAAAAAAAAGTTTTTTTCATTGTATGTTATAAATGTGAGAAATTCTTTCATTTACAGAATTTAAAATAGCTTTAACTGGGATATAAAGAAATTAGTTTTCTATTGACAGGTTGTTATTTATACTAAAGAAATTTATCATATAGTTATTGTTAATGATAATAATGTGATGATGCTAGATGAAAGAGATGTTAATGTACATAGATTTTCTTAAAAGAAAACAATACATATTACTTCTTACTATGTGCACCCTATAAACACAAACAACCAAAACAAATATTATTTCACAGTAAAGAAAGCTAATGTATATTTTCATAATTTCAACAAAATAATGGTACATGATTTTACCTGGTGACAGACGTCTCTCAATGATTACAAAATAGCTTTCTCCAAATGATGCAATAGTGTATTAAAAGCTAAAATGTTTATTACATAATGATATGATACTTTCTTTGATGATCAGGATCTTAGTTCTTTCACTCTATCTATGGAATAATGAAGTGTTATATTGCTTAATAGATCACGTGTCACACAAGTTTTATTCTGTGAAGAGAGATACCCTAATAAGATGTATGCAGTCAAATAATTAGATTAACAGATTAACTAAAATGTTTATTCTGTTATAAAGGTCGTAACATCTATCATTAATGCTTACATTTCAATCTATAATGAGGTTATATATCAATCCCTTGAACTATTGAATTCTTATGAAGTCATCTTGATTTTTTAACAGTCAAGGTGTGATATTTTCTAACATCATCAACACAAAGATGTTTTGTAACTGACTCTGTATGTCCTTTATTTCAGATTAAAATTAAAAATGTTTCTAAAAACGTGACAGTATGCCTAATTCATTTATCAAGCAGTGTTTCCAAATTCATCTCTTTGAATCTGCAGTAAATTTTCTCAAATAGATACAACATACATACACTTGTTAACAGGTAATAGGTTTTTTGTAATATCACAGCTGTTATGTATCAATGAATCATGTGTTAACAGCAAATGTATTATACATCATAAAACTTGATATCTTATAAATAACTAATACATTCAACTAAAAAGAAACTTATATTTGGCCCAAAACACGTGCTATTATATGTCTGAAGAATATTACATACAGTAACTTCAAATATAGTTGCCCAATGAAGTGGCCATGACTGGACAAGGGCTAAGAATGCTTGTTTACTCTGGTCAACATCCATCCCAGCAAGAATTTGATGTTGTATCACCACAGATTCTGGTGGGATAGTGGTGAGCAGTCTTGGAGGAAGGCAATCTGCCATGATGCTCCTGTGATATATGTTAGTTATAAAAATTCAGACCAAATTTACATAAAAACTAAACTAAAAAAAAAGAGTTCTATCTAATGTTCAATACACTAGTCTTTCAAATGAAATGTTTATGTTTATATAATAAACTTGTTAATGCAATAAACTTCTTAACTTAAATATTTAATATCTTATAGCTTTGTAACAAACATTGCTAACCAGTTACCTAACAACACATGTATATTCACTAAATTTCATTTCAGTATTTTTAATTGCATCTCAAATTCAATTATTTATGCTATTTTACTTCATAGCACAAATAAAGCTTGAAGCAATTTCAAGTGATTCCACTTTTATATTAATAAGCTTCCTTGCCACAATGGGTAGTTCTTACACATACCGATAATCTGCTAGTCCCTCTTGAAAATCTCCAACTTCCAATTGAGCTTTTATAGCACACAACATAAGCTAAAAATGCAAAAAATAATGATGCTTGTTAGAGATCTAAACAGTTTTTTGTGAGGTATTTATAGAATGCAGTTTACTAAATACAAAAACATTACTACTACAAATATATTGTAAATATTACAAAATCCCAAATCTATCTATAACTTCATCCACTATAGACTTTACTTGAAAAAATCTTTGATGATAAATTGCAGCACATGATTTATTAGACATCCTTTCCAGGCTTAACATACAAACAACATGATTTGTTTTACCTATTACCTAATAGGTGGAGCTACCATCAAAGTATTGTTTGTTATTGTTGATTTTTATGCATGGGAGAGCTCAGAGATTATGACCAACAGGACCAATGGAATTTCACTGTGCGGGAAGTTATTCTCTATAGCTAGTAACTGTTTTCTTCATCTTATTTGTTCAGTGTTATAAAACAAGTTGTGTTGCTCATATTGTGATAGTGAAGGGGAATCATTCAGTAAATTTCTGAAGAATAACATGAAAGGACTATGAATTAAAAAAAACAAACCCAAACTATTTTTCTTCAGGAATAGCCAACTGTTTGAAAGTTCTCGAGCTTTGGGTCTTTCACTGCACCTCTTGTGTGTGATCCTGTGTGCTAACTCTTATCAAAAATGTGTGTTGATATCGTAGTTGTTACCTGCACGTATATTTTTAACTCTTATTAACACATAATCCCCCCCACTTTTCAAACTGTGTCTACACCCTTGGACTTTGTATAAACTTGCAACTTCACTAAGAATTTTTATAAATGTATTAAAATAGCTTTATATTAACGAGTGTTCAGTTTCATGAATTTCAAGCTTGTTTAGACTTTAAATTCACTGTCACAGAAAACTTTTTCAAAAGCAATAACTTGCAACAACCTTTACTTTTTCAAAACAGAGATTAAGTGGAAATGGTTAAAACACAGCACGTTATCTGGAAATAATTATGGAAACATACAAGTGATACACATACAGGAGGCTTTATGAGTTTATGTAAAACCTGAGAACCTCAAAAGGTAAACAAAGAACTTGGCTGAATTGTGAGGAATAATAAAGAGCGTTGGAACAATAGTCCACAATTCTACTTTTATAAATTGTGTAGCAGCAGGCAGACAGTGTGTAATTCTCTGTGTGAAACAAAGAGAACACATACAAAATATTAGGGCATTGTACAGTTTATTTTCTTTTGTTTAGTATCATCAATAGATTCACCACCTAGTTTCCATTTCACCTTGCTTGTGAATCAAGAATGTTCATATTTTGTAAGCCAAGCTATAGTTGTGAGTAGTGTTTCATTGGTCTCTTACCAACAAGATACCATTCCACTATATTTTATCTGTATGCTAGGGATCATTGTCTTGCTCAAAGATGAATCTCTGACTGAAGAAATGTATTCCTGAAGGAACTGCATGATGGATCAAAATGAACCTGTACGTGTCAGCAGTCAGGATGTCATCAATTTTGTTGAGATCACCAAACTTTATACTGTTCTTGGTCCAGTGTCCAATTAAATCTTTTGGTTTGATTAACTGTTTACAACAACAATTTTCAAACAGCTACATGTCCATTGAGACCACTTTGTGTTAATTGTATCTTACTGTTCTTGAAGAAACATTTACATCTTCTAATTACACTAAGGTCATTAGTAAGAGCTGTACTTGACCATTGTCTGCCTCGTAAAGGATGTTTCCTATCTGTGCTAGCCCTCCCTAATTTAGCAGTGTAAGACTAGAGGGAAGGTAGCTAGTCATCACCACCCACCACCAACTCTTGGGCTACACTTTTGCCAATAATGCCCCCACGGTTGAAAGGGCAAGCATGTTCGGTGGTACGGGGATTCGAACCAGCAACCTTGAGATTGCAAGTCAAGCACCATAGCCACCTGGCCATGCCGAGCCTTTTACATAATGAAGGGGTGGTATTCCCATATTATACCCTTTTCCTCACCATTTCCATACTTATTTCCAATACTACATATACAAACAAGTTCATGAATTAATGTACAACATAATTATCTTAAAATACCATTCAGCATTTAACTCTTAAATGTCTAGGTTTATTGATTTGATGCACCTATTGTATAGCTTGTTTTATTGAAATTCTTTTAATTATGAGATGAACTTTCTACAGATTATGTACCTTTGCAAAATAAATTATCTTATTTTTTATATAATATCTGTATGAATTTACAATGTTGAAAAGTTGTCATTATTTTATAATATATTTTCTTAAGAAGTAATAAAAAATGCTGACCTTTGTTGTAATTTTAATTACTGATTTTGTGTCTTCCTATATCCTTATAAAACTTTAAATCCTATCTTTGTTTTGATTTGAAAAATACCACACAGTTTCAACATGTTTATGATCACTCATATATAATAAAAATAATGACTTTTTACCATACCAAAATTATAAGCAAGCCAACATTTGTTTTTAAATTGTTAATCAAAATGTGTTACTTAATATATGTAATAAGCTTTTGGAAACATTTTATATACATTTATACATATTATTAAATTTTTTTGTAATTTTCTTTGCCAATTCAAGCAGTTACTAAGGCCAATCAAACCTAATGTAAACATAGCCTAACAAACAATAGCTGTTTTGCAATATAAAATATGATACAATTATCTAACGAGGCCTACATTCACTTGTTTTATGAAAAACATTTCTTTTCCCATCACAATCAAATTAAGAATGAAATTACAAAGCAAGCTTTTTGTAACTTTCAAAAATATGAAAAAAGGCAGGTCTGTAATTGTGGAAGAAGTTGTTCACAAACATCTTTTATTCTAAAACCATATCACCAAGATAAGCTTTTATCACTTTGTTTTTATTTCTGAACTGAAATTTATACTGACTTATAAAGATAAAAAGAATAGGGAAAAAATGTCCATTACATGTTTAGGACAATAGCCTATGACTTCTCAAATTTGAGATATAGACATTTAATCACATCATGACAAGAGAGAGAGAGAGATTGAGAAACAACAATTGGCTAAAATTGATCAAACTATACCTGTTTTGAAGTTACAAAGTTAAAATTGTGACTGCTTTGTTCAAAACTATTTTGCCTCCTCTGGGAACATAAGTGGAGTGTTAAGTTCAGAAACAGGATATTCACAAACACTTATGTTTTTTTATTCAGAGTGCACTGAAATCAACTAAAAATCAAAATTTGATTTTTGAAAAACTTTATGCACAAAATGAATTAAATAGCTTTTCACAGAATAAATTTCAACTCTAAATTGTTCTTAATGTGTGGAAGGATGAGTATAAGTTTATTTTCTATAACTTTTTCAATTCAATCATGCAATTTTGCCTTCAGAGCATGGTGAACCCAGTGGGACAACATAAAGATAAACAAAAAAATAACATACAAATTCTTTTCAAAAGTACAAAGGATTTGTTTAATTATTTATTTCAACTCTAATGGATTAAGATAAACCTTAAAATCTACTTAATGTATTAATAGGTGCAAAAGTAAAATATTTGATAATCTTTGTTAGAAGATTCAATTTATTTATAAGTGCTTCATTATACTAATACCTGTGATAATGGATTGATAAAAATAAATGTTTAAATATATATATTTTGAGTTTCACAAATTTATTTACATGCATAAGTCCAAATATTTTTATAAATATTACCTACAACAGCTTAAACAGTTCAAATCTGAATGAGATATTACTGTATATCATTTGTAAGGTAGCAATAAATGGGAAAAGTATACTTAATGAATAATAAAGCACATACCGAGAAATAACTAAAACTTTTTGTTTGAGCAAGTAAACATTTCAAGTTAACAAAACTTACAGCTTCTTGGTGAGTGACTGGAAAACGATCATGTTGAATGTTGTGTACAACCTGGTGATAAAGTAGTTCTTTCTCCACAGGATCATTTAGATCAATATATTTATCTACAAATAGGTGTTTCTGTGACGGAAAAAATAACGAAAAACATAAACTAAGATAGACTTGAATCACATTCTGAATTATAAAACAAAATGTCCAGTTTTTTTATGACATATTTTATAATTATCACCAGTCAATAATGCATTTAACAAAAACAAAATACAGTATATGACTACACCTTTTTATATTTTATTATATAACATTAACAATAAGTTCCCACTACATAAGATGTAGATGCTGCATTCATGAACTTTGTTTGTTTGCAGTAAAGCACAAAGCAACACAATGTGTTTTTTTGTGCCCACAATGAGTATTGAAACCCAGTTTTTAGCAGTGTAAGCCCACAGACTTTACCGCTGAGCCACTGGAGGGCATCATGAACTTAACTTTAGAAATTAAGTGAATTATAAATCTTTACTTCTAATGTTTTCTCAAAAGTTCATAGCATTTTGTATCTTATGAAAAAAAACAGATGATTTACTATAAATTTTAAGATACCACAGACATGAGGCCACTTGTAATGAAGTAAAAACATATACACCACGACTATTACAGTTTCAAGTAACTTAGTTCCTTCCTTTTGTTTTAGGGTGAAAACTAAAACCACAGCACCACACACAATATTTAAATCTGTGGTTTTATGGTCAACTGAAAACAAATCAGAAGCCAAGACTTTTCACTTCTTCAGTGAAAACTTCCTCAGTTGGTAAAGGAGAAAAAGAATAAAAAGTACATTAGCTTTTAAAATATTTAAACGGAACTGAATTGTGATAGAGAGTGTTCAATAGAGATAAAGGGGAACATCTTTTATAAATATTTATATTAGGTTTGTGTATTTTCATTGATATTTCTTTTTTGTACAACATATTCTTTACCCAGTATTTTTCTGTTTTTTCAATTTATTTTATGGTAAAATTTTTTTAGGTGTTCATTTAGATGAGATGTATCTTTTTGTTTAGTAAGTTCTTTATTCTTAATCCAGGTTTCTGTATGAGTTTTGTTTCAATATCTTTGTTGTGTTTTTTGGGAGTTTCTTTCATATTCTTATAAGCTGCTTTCCTTAGTTTCCTATGTATGAAATAATTCCTATGATTTAGTTATTTCTATTTCGTTTTCTTTATTATGATGTGTATTTTGTAAGTTGTTGCTATTATTTTTTGTCTTACTACTTATGGTGAGTTGTAAACGACCTTTTAAAACAAGTTGAAATATAATTTATTTTGTCTTCTATTTCTTTAGGTGAACAAAGACAAAAAGAAACGTTGTGTAAGCCTTTTAATCTTCCTATTTTTTATTCATGTGATGTATGATTTCCAGTTGATGTATGTGTCTTTTTATTTTGAACTGTTGTAAGTTTATGCAATATTTAAAACTAGGATGTTCATTGTTGCTTCTTTCTCCTCTTCAATTGTGGAGTTAGTCTTTAAAGATGCAGTTTCGTTAATCAAAGTTATTAAAACAACATAGTACATCATTAACTTATGTCCAACATGTGTAAGATCCATTTTATTATTTGATTTATTTTTCTTTTGCTATGTTAATTGCTTCAGAGGTTGGTATTTATGGAAACACTGAAATTACATCAAAAACTACATAGTTGGTTTTTGTTACAGGCTTTTGGGGATCTTTCACTATTGTTTCTGAGAGATACTTGCCTAGGTTAAAGTTGAGTGATGCATATGTATAGTGATAATTGGTCTGATGCTAATTGTGTTTTTGTGTATTTTTAAATGATCACAAGTTTTTGGTGTTCCAGCATCCCTATCTCGAGTGCTATTATAATTTCTAAGGGATTTTCTTTTCTTTGTGTGCTGTTGGAAAGAAATGACTCAAGTTGTTTTCATATATCTTGTTCAGGATTTTTGGTACTTTTGTAAATTTTTCTTCATTTAGTATGTCAAACATAAGTGTAATGAATTTTACTGTATTCATGATTACAATTATATTTCATTATTTACTTGAGTAAAATATTCATGTAAAACTAAAATGGTCTCTGAAAAACTAGTCCTAAATAAAATACATTAATTTATATAACTTATGTAAACCAATAACAAAACAAAATAAGACTGCAATTATACCTCTATAAAACAAAAGAAAAAGCAAATGAGCATTGGGACATAAGTAGTCATAAGAAAACAGATACAAATGTCCAAAATTAACACTAAAACCATAAGGGCCTTTTGAATCTTTACAGCATTTCGATTGCAGTCTCTAGATATTCAAAACATTATCTCTCATTATTTTAAAATTATTATACATTAACAATCTCACCTTAAAGATAAAGTAGTGCTGTTTTGTAGTAACATTCTTTCCTTGTCCTTTCTGCCATCTTTCCCATTTTGATATAGCATCAGCTACCTTTTCTCTTAAATGTAAAGCTCTTTCTATAGATGAAGAACACAAGTGATTATATCTGTGATATCCAAACATTTCCTAAATTTAATATAGGAAAGATATGTAGCTGGTTTTATTTCTATTATTATATTCCCAGCTCAGAAATTATCTAAAGATATATAATTTCAATTGGTTGAAGTAAAGGCTACAGTATTTTGAGCACACTTGATTTGAATAAATGATTATATTATTAACCTTAAAAAAGAGAAAAATATTTAGCTAAGTACATCATTTTTTATATACTACAGGAGCAATCTTTTAGTATGATCAATGCGGTGAAATCATAACAAAGTAAAAACAAAACAAATACAAAAAAAATGTAAAACCCTCTTTTCTTTAGTCCAGAAATTTGTAACTTCATACCTCAGGTTTTTACTTATCAACAATGATAATACTCTTGTGATAAGGGTGCATAACTGAAACACTGAGACAAAACAGTCCAGAGTAAAAAAAAAGTCCTATCTACTTGTTTAATATTTGCAAGTATCTCCAGTCAGCACCAAGTCCTTTAGATTAGTCATGTCAAACTTAATGTAACTGTTTGTGAGAATGAAAAGTAGGCATTATTCAGAAAGTTTAAAGATAATGTCAAAAATATCTAGTTACAGCTGCTGATGTGCTACGGTTCTTGTCGTTATTGATAAGCCTCCTGATAGAGGTATATAACAGGCAAGAAATAACATCCAAACTGCAAAGGATGAAGTTGAAATGATGATAAAAAATCCTTTATGTTGTGTTGAAAATGCACACTATCTATGTAAGCTGGAACAAGTCAATAATGAATGAACAGTCCTTCTGATGAGCTAAGAAAATCTTTCAAGTATATGATCCATAAACAGACTATATTAAAATGTTAAAATTATTGTTCAAAGTAGCATGTCTTTTTGTGATCTTTCAGCCATAAAACTGAATCATTCTGCAATAATTTGACTTTAGAAGTTTCTTAGAAATTCATTGAATAAAACTTGTTTTCATTGCAACATCAAATTTTGTGTTTTTCAGTAACTATGTGTAAGTATCACATAGAGCAGGTGACACCTTACTTTTATGTGAGAAATCTTTCATACCAGCTAAGCACTTTCCTTAACCTGAGACCCTAACAGTCAAGTTTACAGTTTTGGTCAATTTAAAGTAAAAACATTCCATTATTTTGGTGATATATATATCCTGATATTTTTTTCTAGAGTTAGCAGTCATTTGACCAAAAAATAAAGATATACAATTTTATAAGGATATGAAATTTCCAAGTATATATTCAAATTCCATTCTAGTTGTTTCCTATTTTTTTAAGAATACTAAAATCCATACATCTCAAATGTTGAACTATATTTTTGAGTACAAAAACAACCATAGTTTTTTTTACTTTCTTTCTCAACTCATGCTTCAAAAAAGTCCTAAAACAAATAGTTAACTGGCATCTTTACACAAAGAAAATACTCATTTCACTTTGTTTAATGATGCATGCATAGAAAAAAAGATAAAGCTTGACGAAGACACTTTATTACCTAATATATCATATAGATCCAGAGGATTTAGTCTGACACAATAATCGTGCTCCTCATCACATTATAAAAGCCAAAGTAGTACAGTAAATAAAATATCTAAACAGAATAATTATGCTCCTTATCACATTATGTACAACAAAAACATTCTATGTAATACTCAGGCTTCTTATTAAATCAAAGAGATTAAAAAATTTCCATGTTAACACATGCTCAAATTATTTCAAGGATCACATGATACTTTTGTTTTTCTTCACATCAAACAGAACAAAAACATCTTAGTTTAAACAACACCTGTGCTTCCCATGACATCATACAAGGCATATCCCTCAGCATCTTCTCGCAAGTCAATCTTCATTTTCACTTTCTCTAAGACCTGGTGAAAGGATAAAAAAAAACAGCAAATTAATTAGAAAGAATAACATTTACAGATGTAATTTAGCATTTCATGCTGCTAATGGGATCTGTGATGCAAGGTTAACAAAATGCACATTTACTTTACAGCAATGTGAAAAAAAGTAAGACTTTAATCATTAATTCATATTGTAACATATCCAAGATATCCTTTTCACAAACAAAATCAAAATGCTAGAAGTTAGAATACTTCTAAACTTCTTTTCAGTTCATCTGTTTAAAAATGCTTAAGAACAGTCAGGAACAGAGGATACAAATAGTTAGACCAAAATTAAATGTGTTGGGATTTTTTGTTTATTAAACAAGATTTCTTTCGTAAATCAAATGAGAAAAACTTTACAATGATTAAATGTGAACATAAGGACTACTTCTTTCAAGCTTTCTCACAGTCAACTACTTTTGTATAAAAGCTATGTTCTTTCACATTTTGAATCTAGAAATGACAATAATCGTAAAAGTCTACCAGGAAGATGTTGAAAATCAAAATTATTACCTAATCATATGTAACGTAATCTTTTGCTTGAATTTCAGTGTCTGAACATATACTTAGGTATTATAAAATTGAAAAAAAAATCAAATACGACTTATAACAATAGCCAAATAAAATAACATTGTAGAATACCAATACAAAATATTTACAATGCAGTAATTGTAGGTCATGATACTGTTATTATATAAATATTACTTACAACAACAAAATATATTATTACAACAATAAGCTCTATTCTGAAATATCATTATAAATTAAGTATATAAAGAAAAAATAAATGATAGGAAATACTGTGAATTGAAACAATTTAATAATTAATTTAAATTTTTCAAAAACTGACTAAAACATATAAAGAATTTATGTTACTTACCTCTAACATACAAGCACAAGGATCGAAGTCAACAGTCAAGTACTGGCCATCAAGGAAGTAAACTCGAGTGTGAACTGGACGACGATTTATGGTGAAAGCTATCTCATGTGCTGAAGGTGGCCACTTCCTTCCTCGTGTCTCCAACGTCCGCATCAAAGACTTTAAAATATAAACTTTGCTGATCACCATGAAATAATGCCTGAATGAATTTATGCCACTAGTGGGTTAATTGTACTTTATAAAAATGATAATAATGCTTGGAGATGGCTTGAATGGGTAATGAAGAAAAACTTTAATATAAGTTTAACAAAACAGCAAATGTACAATGTTTCGACAAGGTTTTGTCATCATCAGGTACAATTAGTTTACACTGACACAGATATATATATATATAGTATGAAACAAAGAGGTCACATGACCGGATACTGTGGCAAGACTTAGAAGAGATATCTTGT